AGAATTCAACTAAACTTTGACCAAGCATAACTTCCACATTCTTTATCATAAAATTTCAAACCAAAGCTCATTTTGATGGAAATTCAATTACCTACAACTTTGTCTCTCTAATCTCAAGGTCAAAAATGCTCCATTTGAGATATATGAGCCAAAACATTACAAGTCATTTTAAAAGTCAATAAAAAGTCACTTTTTTTCAAAGCAATTTACATCAAGTTAAAATCTTAAAATGGAAACATGACCAACATAATAGTTGTAGGAGACGTCTTGAGCTTTCCAAAAAGTCAAAAATCACCTTCATATGACAAATTGAGCAAGTTATGAGTTGCACAAGTTGGGTAATTTTGTGAAATTGCATGAAACCTCAATTGAACAATTTTGGGATTTTGGACTAATGGGCCTATCTTTTGAAGTTCAAACGTGTTCGTGACATGTTAGGGGACCCCCAAAACCATTCACATATTTTTTATGATTTTTATTTCTTTTATTTGAATTTTTATTCATTTAAATGTAAATTAAATCAAATAAATATTAAGTGGAGGTATAAGGGATAAAAGGATTTTGTTTCAAATACTTTGGAGGCCTAAGATCCCATCACCAACCGTGTGAACCTATTAGAGAAATAAATTTATTGGTTTTGTCTTATTTTAACCTACTTTCGAAATAAAATCAAAGATATGTTGTACAAGGTCCAAGCCCATCTTTTTTAACCTAATTTTTCCCTCTATATAAGCATAACTCATTCATACACTCAAGACACTAAAGCTCTGCAAGAAACAAGGGTTCAAAATCTCAAATTTTATCCAAAACTAGGGCACACTCGAAATCAACCATCCATTCTCAAGGCCAAGCAACCATCCAAATCGATTTCTTAGACATTACAGAGTAAGTTAGGATTATCCATGATGATCAAAAGGGCCTGGAACACGCGTTACATGCATCACTGATTTTACATTTACATGAAATTTGTATTTTAATTTTTGTGATGTTTTGATATCAGCTAATGTTTCTAATGTGTTCTTGAGATGTAATAGCACATGTCTGAACCCTCGCATGTGTCTCATGATGCCAGAATCGTGCATCACCATGTTTGAACAGTTTTGTGTTATCTTGTTCATATCTCTTTGCACATGATGATTTATTCAAATCTAAGGCCACCAATGAGTATGCATCCCTCAAATTAGGGGGGGGGGGTAGGGTCTTCTTTGATCACTAACACGCTTTATTTTGCAGGTTGGAGAAAACATCTCGCTGGAGAAAACGATCGGAGCTAGGGCTCCAGCACCTCTCTGGTCCCTCTGTTTTTGTTTGTAATATATTTAATTCGTTTTGTTATGATACCGGATGAAACAATTACCCCAGTGGCAGAAACACACGTGCTAAGGCTTTGGTCTCCAAGGGAGTGGGTTTGATCCTTGCCTTTTGCAACTTTTTTTGTTATCTTCCAATTCATGCAGGTTTTTAACATATTGTGCAGTGCCTATTTCCAAACACAAACCAACACCTGGCGCAGTGGCAAGCAAGGCAGTGAGAAGGCTAGGAGGGTGTGGGTTCAACATCCACCCCATGCAGTTTTACTCTTTTTCTAATTTCTTTGATTTTCTAACCCTAATTTTTCCTTTTTCTTAAATATTTTCTTAATTAATCATTAATCAATTTTAATCTTTTTCTTAATACCTTAATAAATTAGGTTTAGGTTTTCTATCAATAATTAATTTTGACATTTTTTTATATAAGTTAATAAGGTTAATTAGTATTTTCTTAAATTTAAAACTAATTAGACTTTAGGTATTTTTTTTTATTAATTAAAATTAATCAGACTTAGGGTTTTAAATATTTAATTAACTTCAAATTATTTTCTACAAAAAACATAAATGAGATTCAAATGTTTTTCTAATCTTTTCTTATTTTGTTTTGCTATTTATTTTCTTCGAGAAATTGTATAGGTCGCACTACTTTTTCTTGTAATAGCTTAGATTTATCTTTCCGTATTTTCTATTATGTAACTGCTTACGGGATGTAATAGTTTAGGTTTAAATTCTGCACTTTACTTTCCAGCATTTTTTATGTAACTTCCCCAAAACCCTGTAATAGCTTAGGTCTTTACTTTCTGCACCTTTAGTCTTTTGTATATAATCAACTACTAGTAACTAGGCATGTATGACAAGATCTAAAAATAATTGATAGATAACCATAATACGAGATAAGTAACTGAACTTAACACACTATTCACACTTGCCCCTCTAGGGTAACCTCTTTTTGCTGCCTTCGGAAATAATGGTCATGTACCTCGAAAGTAGGGATACTTTAGCAAAGACCCTCGAATAAAGATCATAGTCCCTAGATGACCCTTCGATGTTTCCTACGAAAAATGATCTAGTCCCTCTGATATGATTTCTAAATCATCTCTATGTGTTGCCTTCGATGACCCTTCCCTTGTCCCTTCACATCCAATAGATATGGCTACCTACCAACTGATGGTATGTATAGCACTATCTCTAAAGGAGAAGGAAAAGAATAAGAACAACCTTTAATGGGTAAGGAACTCTTAACCACTTGCTCACGACTTTTTAAAACATCTTTACACATAACACTTTTAAAATATTTTCAAACACTTTGAACGCGTTCTTGAGGACTGATACAAGAACCATTACAAAGTTATCCGTACTTTGAATTTTCAAAATATTTTCAAATTACATACACAAAGCAAGATTTTCAAAAAGTGAGCTAGCAATTAAGAGCCCGTAGAAAACTACGGATTAAAAGGGTGCTAACACCTTCCCTTTTCATAAGTTACCCCCCAAAATAAAAATCCATCAAAGGTCTTTCCTGTTCTTTTCACCTTTCCTAAGTATTGGATAAAATAAAAGTCGGTGGCGACTCTTGCTATACGCACATTTGGATAAACCCAAAAAAGTCGGTTCTCCCACTGTATTATAACAGGGATATGAAGTAAAAGGGGGGAGAGAAAATTTTACAAGATGATAAGGGAAATTTACGGGTTAAAGAAGGCTCCAAGAGCATGGTTCAGCAGGATCTAAAGCTACTTTGTGAATGAAGGTTTAGAAAGGAGAGGAAGAAAAGCAAGCTGGTGGAACTCTTTTCAAACAGATGGTAGGGAGTTTGATGTATATGATAGAAACCAGTCCTAACTTAATGTATTTTGTGTGTCTTATTAGTTAGTTCATGTCTAATCCAAAGGAAATACACATGCTTACAACCAAAAGAATCTTAAGGTACATGAAGTCAATAATTGATCTCGGTATCTTCTATGGGAAAGGATGCAGGGAAAAGCTAGTAGCTTACACGGGCAATGATTATGCTGGTGACATAGATGACCAGAAAAGTATCTCAGGCTATGTATTCATGTTAACTGGTGGAGTTGTTGCATTTGCATCCAAGAAGTAGTAAGCAGTTACTTTTTCTACAACTGAGGCCGAATAAGTAATTATTGCATCCTATGATTTCCAGTTTATTTGGATGAAAAACATCCTAAAACAAGTTAAAGGAACTTAGTATGATTGTGTTACAATATTTTATGGTAATTCATCTACCATTAAGCTTGCCAAGAATCAAGTTTTTCATGGGAGAAGTAAACTCATCAATGTGAGGTTTCATTTTTTGATAAATTTAATTAAGTATGGAGTTGTTGATATGTTTTGTAAAATAAGTGACCAGCTTGCAGATATCATAACCAAGCCATTGAAGTTTGACCAATTTGAAAAAATTTAGAAGCAACTGTGGTACAAGCACCAGAATATTTAATAGAAGTGCAGGATACATGTTTAGTTTAGGGGAGGAATTTTGGAATTTTATTATTTGTTTAAATTATTATTTAGTTTTTAGTTTGTTAGTAAAATTCCTAGTCAAAAGGAGTATCTAGGTTAAGACTTATTCTTTAGCATATTATGCTAAAAAAATAGAAATTTCAGTTTATGTAGGGATATTTATTTAGGCTCAATCTTCTGTTTTAAATATCAAGCTAAGTTTTCTATAAAAATAAGTTTTGAATGCATTGTATTATTATCTTGTTCAATAAAGCCTCACCCACACATGTATTGGTATATTTGAAGTGCGTCTAAAAAAAATACTTTTGAATTCATATGATCATTTTTTTGAATTTACATATGTTGCACTCCAAAATTTACCCTCTTGATTTAGGCTTATGTTTCATCATAATCATCATATTTCATTTCATCCATTTCTTTATGACGTGATCAAGGTATTCTTATCTTCCTAGTTTTCTTCAAATAGTGGAATTTGGTTGTTTTGTCAATCAATTCAAGATGTATTTCATATCCTCAATCGTCTTTTTGGTTCAAGTTACCAAGGCTTCTCAGACTCCGTGACATCTCAAATTGATTCTTTGTTTCGTAAGAGATTTGAAGTTGGCAAGGGTTTTAAAGAAAAATAACATTCTCCTATATTTCTATCTGTGAGCTAATGTTTTGATTATTGGAGTGTATGACATCTTTCTGAGCAAGATTTTGAAGCATCATCTTCATCATGTCATACAGAGAAGGATTCAGAACACAAGGTTTGAGTTTGTGGATTTAATCTTGATCAAGATTATTTTGAGGTAATTATTCAAGTGCATGCTAAGTTTAGAAAGATGGTTTACATGGTTTTCTTGGTCTTCAAGTTACAAGATTAAACCGTTTATCATGATCATTCAACATCTATCACGATATGGTATCATGCTTTATTCTTTCAATTCTTATGTCCTTAAGTCAAGCATATATGGTTATGATTCCTACAAGATGCAAATGGACTTATCTCACCAATCAAGGTTCTGGACATTATAATGTGAAGTACTTTGCATAGCCAATTCTATCACTTGTCACACGAGTTTCTTTGGATCTCATTTCAAAGGCATAAAATTTTAAATCTAAGTGTTCTTGAGGAAGATTAGGGTTTTGATGTAAATATCAAAAGAATTCAAGACAATTTTGAGATATGGAAGAAATTTGAAAATTGAATTTTGTTTTTAAGCACCATTTTTTAAGGCAATTCAATTGATCCTTCTCCTAAATTCTAATACACCATTCAAATTTTGGTTGCAATTGTTACAAAACTCAAAAAAGTTTATAATGTTTTTTACAATACATTCAAGTATAACTTCATTCAAGTTTTACATTATTTCTCACAAGGCTTATAAAGAAAGTTTCATTGTTTATAAGGTTATTTCATTACAACTCTTAAAACAAGACAGTTCGAAAATTCAAAAACTAAATCAATACAAGATGTTCCTAAAGGCTAAATGTTTTCAAGCTTTTGAGTTTGTTTACTCCAAGACTTCTTCCTCTTCAAGATTTATTCCAAACTCTTATGTGTTGTCCTACTATGGCCACGGATTCTCCCAAAGGAAGATCTTCATAACTTCACCATCTTTCCAGAGTCTTGACATCTTCATCCATTCCTCAAGACAAGCTCATCACATGAAAATAAGAAAAATAAGAAATGTTAGTGATCAAGAAACAAGCATGTGAACATAAGCAAGAAATCTTCAAGGAGATCTAATTCAAGTTTCGTCATTAGGGTCTGTGTAGGAATCGGAAAAATAGGGTTGGTTTTCAAATCATGTTCATAAACATTTCACAAGGCCTCATACTTTGTTTCAACAAAGTCGGGATTTAAGAGTTAATCATGGGCCTTTTCTTCTCCTATTGCAAATCACAAAAATCCTTTATTTTTTTGTTCACAAATGGAGGTATCAAAAGACTCATGGTTTTTTGCAAATTCAGCCGCATTTCTAGCCCAACAATTCATCACGGTCTGAAAAAATCAGAATTCATTCATGCTTGTAGAAATAACGAAGGCCTCATACAAAATCAGATTCAATCATAGGCCCATAATCTTTATTTAAAATCACAAAAACAAGTTTTGGTTCATAGTAGAGTTCAAAACAAGCAAGTTTACTACACAAGTTTCACAAAAATAGCATCACGGTTAAGCAAGTAAAAGCAATATAGGATTCATAAAAAAATTGCAACAGTCCCGCCCATGGCAGATCAGAAATAGGCCCCTGTATTGAAACCACAAAGTTGTAATACATCCCTGCACTCATTTGAAAAATCATAAGAAAAGAACTGTGAAATAGCTAAACCAGAAAAATCAGAATTAAAACCAAAATTCCAGCTCAGCAGTTTAACAAAAGCTTCTCAAGCAAGTTTCATAAACTCAATCCTCACCATCTATTCTTATAACTAACTACTGTAATCCAAGGGCCTTGACTAATCTAGCTCATCAATCTTTAACAAACCAATTCAGAAATATATAACATATTTGTCACACGGTTAATCCTCATGCTTCAACTTCTGAAAATAACAAAAAAAGTCTCCACAAAATTCATCACAAAAGAGGCCAGAAAAAAAGTTTTCAAAAATCAAGATAACACAAAACCTCAATGAGATTTCAAGTGTATAAACCTTAGCTAATTCATCATTTTCCTATCACAAACCCTTCATAAAAATTTGCAAAAAGTGATAACACTGATTTCCCAAGTTATAGGGAAAGTAGAAGAGGAAAAATAATCGCAAGCAAATCACGAAACATAGAAGAAGAATCAGAGAGATCTCACCTAAAAGGCACTCAGAAGCATCGTCTTCATCATTAATTGCGCATCATCATCATCGATTATCAACATCAATTGCGCATCATCATCATCGTCACCCAAATTGCGATCTGAGCATCTTAGGGTTATTATATCCCTTTCAAGATCTACGTGAAACAAACAAGCATCTGCAAAATCAAATGTCGGATTAGTGTTCAGGATGAAGAGACGAAGCCATTGATACAAGAAAAGTAGATATCGGAGCAAGTTCACCGCTTGACGCCGTATCCACCGCCGTGAGATAATTTCCAGCGCGGTGGCCAAGGCATCGTCTCCGGCGAACCATGTGAATAAAGAAAAGAGAGACAGCGTGAGTGTTAAGAGGAAGAGAGAGAAAGTTTTATCTTGTTTTTTTAAGATGTGGTTTAGTGTTTTGATAGCATGCAGGAGCCGGTATGGTGGTGACAAGTGTCGCCACCATGGGACACTTGTCACCATTCAGATGGGAGAGTTTCTTGGATCATATACGCGCCATCTACCTATTATTGTGCACCTACGCGTCTCAACCGCCAGATCGTGTATCATCCTCATCCAACACACCAAGATGCAAGCCCACAGTGAAACCCATGGAGTTACTTATACTGGATCAGACGGATCCATCTCCTTGGGCCCAGTGAATTGCTTTTCAGCACCCCTCATTTTTTTCTTATCTCAGGCCCATTTTTATCTTTTTATTATATTTCTATTTTCTTTTTGCATTGCTTGTTTCATTCTTTTTTTTTCTTTAGCAACAAGATAATAATAATAATAAAATAATAATAATATAAATATATACCTTTTAAAAAAATAATTAATTAGATTGAAAAATATTTTTTTATATCATTAATTATTTTGTGAAGTAATGGTATCAAATAAAATGGTTCAATTTAATTAATTATTTAATTAATTTTGATTGATATGAATTATTGTCTGTTTAGACTTTTAAATCGTGTTGTCAATTTGATATGTCCCCATTTGTAAACTTACACCCCCTTGATCCTTCTTTTATATTTGAAATTCTTTTTATTATTGATTTTTGTTCGTCATTTCAATCTGTTTAGACTTTTTCTTCACATGAAAAAAATAATAAAATCAACAAAAATTGGTTAGATTCTTACTTTGATTTTAAGAATTAAATTATGGTTATCCTATTACCTGAGATTTGCTTTGCACCTTTGCTTATTGATATATGTGTCTTGATGCAAGTTTATTTTGATATATGCGGATATGCTTGAGATTTTGATTGTGATTTATTTTCGCATCAATGATGCCTCGACGCTTGTTCCGAGCATTTGATTTATGACTCTTTTCCTTGATTGGTGAAGCTATTGTGAAGATCATCGGGTTTCTTTGTTTCGATACACTTTGCTACGGATTAATATCTGTTTGTTATTTTCCCTTGCTTATCTCATTTCAGCATTTACCGCTTTCTAGAGATCATGTATAGTAGGGGCATTTATTGATTTCTAGAAATCATGTGAAGTAGGAAGTAGGAAATAAAGAGCGTGATCTCGAAGTCGCTGTTAAAAATCATGTAGTAGGCACCATTTTTTATATGTTGTTTGTATTTGTTTAAAATCCTACCTATGAAGTAGGTATTTCGCACGTGTGTTTACATTTATGCCAGCATTATATTATAGGTGATAAGTCCTCAAAAGGAGGCGAGTGGGGAGGATTTGCAATTAACCCCCGCACATTCTAGTCCATGTCATCCTTAGCTCACATTGTACATTGATGCTTTGAAGTTGTGAAAATCATATGTATCAAGTACGTCAAGTGGGGAAGGGTTTTGCAATCAAACCCCCATGATCTTTCAGGAGTTTGCATTAGCCGATGCTGACACTTCGTGATCATTCATATTGTCTTTTGTCGCCTACCTCGATCTTCATTATCTTGGTTAGGTGTTCAGTCGCTTTGGACGTTGCATTTTTCTTCTTCTATCCCCTCTCCGCTTGTTTGCCTCGGTTGATATGACCCCTTGGCTAAAGCATCCCTATTGTATTTTGTACCTACCTCGATCAGTTATATCTTAATTAGGCATTTACCCGAGTTAGTGTGCGTTACTCGTGGCATGTGTGTGCTTTTTTGAGTTTGCTTGTTTTTATCCTTGTACATACAATGCTATCTTAGAATAGGAGTTTGTATGCTTCCTTAGGGTCGCTCGATTAGAGTAGCTTGTAAGCTAGACATTAGGATAGGAATCCATGTATGCTCACTTAGGTAGATATTTCCCTTACATTCTCGACATAGGACCATAATTATATGATAACATTAGGGATAGAACTAGATAGTCTCCCTTAGATGTTTTTCTTTCTTTTGCATCCTTGAATTAAGACTAAAACTTCTTCTTGCCAAATCATAAAACATCTCTAATAAACTTAAAACCTTCTTCAAGGTAAAAAATACAAACTAATATTAATTGTTTGTGCGTCTTTTGGCTTTGTTTTAAACCTTGTTAAGTTAACATCTTGCCGTCCTTACTATTATATTTTACTATCTTTTTGCTGATGTTTAGTCATCGCACATGTTTGTTATCCTACTTTGATTTTCTACATCATTGTTAGGTGTGATGTTTTACCATCTTAACTATAATGTTTTTTCATATTACCATGATATTTTACTATCTTTTTGCCGATGTTTCGCCATTGCATATTGTGATACGGTGGGAGAACTGACTTGGGTTTTGCGTTTGTTTTCGCAAATGTTTCGGTTGAGCAAGAGTCGCCACCGAATTTTTATTTTATCCTAATGAAAGGTTAAAAAGCACAGCAAAAACCTTTGAGATGTTTTCTTGGGTTCGGGGAGTAGATTATAGAAAGGGAAGGTATTAGCACCCTTTCTATCCATGGTTATCCATGGGCTCTTAGTTACTTTCTTAGATCACTTGCCTTGTGTTTTCAATTGTTTGAAATGGTGCTTTGTGCGTGAGTTTGAAAATGTTTTGAAAAGAGGCCATTTGTTGTGGAAACCTTTGTAATGACCCATGTTTGGATGTATACAAAGGTGTATATCTTTTGAAAAAGTTTTCAATGTTTTTGAAAGTCGTTTTTGAAAGTGTGTTGTGATGTGTGTTTTGAAAAATAGGAAAGGATTGTTTTGCAAGATTGATCAAGTAACTAAGAGTTTTGTCTACCCCTAAATTTACTCAAAGGTTTTTCCTATGTTTTAACCCTTTTAACAATTTTGTTCCACCATTGTATTTGGTGGACAATCTTGTGTTAGGATGTTAACGGGACGGGCGCGGGTCATCGTTTAGACCATGATTGTAAAGGTGCCAAGTGTCTTTGGGCAATTTTTCCTTTAAGGGACTTGATCATTTTTAGGCAACTTTCGAAAGCGTCATCGAGGGACTATGATCATTGGAATTGTTTTGTTTTTGCCAAAGAAACTCAACATGCAACATGGCCCATTATTGAAGGCAACAAGTGGAGTAACCCTAGGGGTGCAAGTGTGATTGGTGTTTGTTCATTTTCATGCTTTTATCTTGGAATTAGGTCAAACTATTTGTTTGGTTGATTTTTGCATACAAAACCCTAAGTCTATCATGGCATATTTAGAAAGCTTAAAAATGCGAAATTTAAAGTCCTAAACTATTACAACATAATTATGGGATGGGGGGTACAAATATTCAAATGGGGATATTTAGCAAGAAATTTAAATCTAAACTATTATAATCCAAATGGAATATACAAGTTAATTTAATTGTACAATAATTAAATAAATATACAATAAATATGCAAGATGCAAAAAAAATGATTTTTATATGTATGGGAAAGTATTTTTTTTGTGTCAAATAAACAAAAATAAAAAGGATAATTTTTTTTGGGTATTTTCATGTTTTAGGGCAAAACCATAATTTTGCTAAATAAAAAGTATTTATTATTTATTATATACAATATTTAATAATTATATACAAAAATAAATAAAAGAGAAGTATATTGTAAAAAAGTGATTTTTGAGGTCAAATATTAATAAAAATAAAAAATGTATTATTTTGTATTTTTATCCTAAATATTCTAAATATATAAGTATTTATATTATATATTAAATATATTAAATATGTACAAGAAATAAAATATTTATTATTTACAAAAAAAGTATATTTTTTAGAAAATGTTTTCAAAAGATAAAATAAAATAAAAATCAGAAAATAAAAATGTATTTGCAATATTTTTGTATTTTGAATAAAAAAAGTATTATGTTTATTTATATACACATATCAAATAAAACAAATAAATGCCTAAAAAATACAAAAAAAAGGTGAGAAATATTTTTTAATGTTTTTTATATTTTAACAAAAAATAAGAAGTCAGAAACAAAAAGAAAAAGTCAAAAAAAGATAAAAATAAACACAATGGGCCAAGGGGGTGTATGTGTGAAATAGTGGTACAAGAAGGAAAATGAATCAGGCCCAGCCCAAAGGACAAGCTTCTTCAACCTCCAGCCATCCCTGTTCTAAAAAACGTGCGCTTCTTTGCCTTGTTCAAACATCCTGATTCTTTGAGTTTTAGCACAAACTTATAACACCAAAAATGTAAAGCATCAAATCACGAGTCCATACATACTAAGAACTTGATCTAACTCTCAGAAATGAGAGAGAATTTCTTCTCCCCCAATTTCTAAGTTTTTTCCAATGTTCAGGTTCAAAATACTCTTAGCACACACAATATAAATGAAAAGTAACTATATGGATGACTTCAGGGCTATGATTAGAACATGCTTTCTTCACAACTTAAGCCTAAATATGCTTGGATAGAGAGATAGAAGTTCAAAAACTTACCTGTTCATCTTGAATCGTGTATGACAATGGAGGTACTTTCAATGCAATGTGAGGAATGGTATAGCTTGATTAAGGTCCAGGGATGCTTCCTCTATGCTTAGCTTGCTTTGAATCTTGCTGAATCGAGCTACAGAAGTTAACCTGCACAGATGAAAAATGAAAATGGCACACTTGGCTATGGCGTTTACAATTCCAGTTCAATGCTTGGAATAGTTTGTATGGATGTTATGGAGTGTGTTTGCAAAGGTTTCAGCCAAAACGCACGAGTGGAAGTGTTTGTGGAAGTCAAGTTGCAGAAGGGACTCTGTTTTTGCAGCAAGGAGGTGTTTCTGTGAATGAGGAGGTATTGAAGGTGGTTTTCTCGTGTTTCAGGTCAGGTTTTATGTGTGGAAGGTGTTCACAAAGTTTGTTTTGGTTAGTTCTTGCAGCAATGAGAGTTGTTGTTCAATATGCCAAGTTTCTTCTAATGTAAGCAAAAGTTGCCAAGTTGGGTTATAGGCCAAGGCAGGTCCCTCAAGCATGCTTCATAATCTCCCCTTGATCAGTGGGATTAGTTCATAAACTTATGCCTAGAAGATATGCTTTGTACTTCTTTGATTTGCTTTTGACATAAAGTCATGCTTTACAAGAATGGATAAGTTAATTTTTCCAAATAAGGCTTGATTTTGTGTGTATTGTC